CAGATCAGTATCGGATCATTACCAGGCTCTAGAATCTTTTACTTGAAACAAGGGCCTAATCAGAAGAAAACCTAGAAATTTCTGAGGCGATTCATACTCTGAAAAACTATCATTCTGAAAATTTCAAAATCTCTCCATTCAACTGAGTTTCCGTTTTGAGGCAGAACTCAAACTGAAATTAATTTCAGGTTGTCAGCGAGGTCATCACTCACAAACAAAATCACATACCTATTGTTAAGGTAAATTCATCATACTGCCATTCATAATCACCATAAGGGTACTGAACAATGTCAAGGCGAATAATTAATTCTGTTTAAGCAAAACACACTGATGCTAGGAATAACACGAATACCATTCAAGTGCTATCACCTCCTCCTTCTTGATCAAATCAGTCCATTACCTTGCCTAAATCACGTTCTTCCTATCTAGTCACGTTCTCTCAACAGATTATCTCTTATCTAAAAAACACCAACGCTCAAATGTTATGTAAACATCACCTCTCAATGCATCGTAAACGTCACTTATCGACGGATCTGATCATAGATCATAAATTTGATCATAAATATCATCGATCTCTGAATCACTCAAAATCGAACCGATATCAAGTGAACAAACCAAATTCAGGGTGACTTCGTGAACATTCCGAAGCATGTGCAACGTTTCATTGCCGAGAAGGCAGAGATGATGAATCCGAGTGCGATCTACATCTGTGACGGATCGCAGCAAGAGTACGATGAATTGATCGCATCAGCCATGAAATGTGGCATGCTCTTTCAGTTGAAGGCCTACGAGAATAAGTTAGTTCCTCACCATTACTCACTGACTTAACACTGTGAAAAAATACAGATCATTAATGAAAATAATGCAATTGCAGCTATCTGTGCCGTACCGACCCCCGTGACGTGGCTCGTGTTGAGGCGAAAACGTGGATGATCACTCCCGACAAGTATCAGTCGGTGTGTCACACTCCTGAAGGTGTTAAGTCGACGATGGGCCAGTGGATGGGTCCCGAGGAGTTCGGTAAAGAACTGGATGACCGTTTCCCTGGATGCATGTCTGGTAAGTTGCTCTCCTCTGATCTTATCATTTAGATCTCAAGGTTCCACTGATCAACAGTCACTTTAGCCAAATGACTCGAGCCAAAAGCCGGCAGACCACAAGTAGATTATGAAACTCGAATTAATGCATTTCTTCACGACATAATCCGAAGACAGCACACGCAAATTCACTGCTGAATCATCCCTCTCAGCAGTTTTCATGCGATCACGAAACAAATCGCGATTCTTTCTCAAAATTGCAATCAAATCAAGAATATCGTTCGTAATTTGAGGTCGTACGATGTATGTGATCCCGTACTCGATGGGACCAGTCGGTGGACCGCTGTCGAAGATTGGTATTGAGTTGACTGATTCGGTGTACGTGGTGCTGTGCATGCGAATCATGACTCGTATGGGCGCTGCTGTATTGCACGAACTGACTCGAACCCAGGGCGAGTTTGTGCGATGCGTGCATTCGGTTGGTGTGCCGAGACCCGAAAAGGTCGAGGTGATCAATAACTGGCCTTGCAACCCCGAGAAGACTATGATTGCTCATCGACCCGCAGAACGTGAGATTTGGTCGTTCGGTTCGGGTTATGGTGGTAATTCGTTGCTGGGCAAGAAGTGCTTTGCGTTGCGTATCGCGATGAACATTGGCTACGATGAGGGCTGGATGGCTGAGCACATGTTGATTATGGGCATCACGAGTCCACAAGGGGGTCAGGAACGCTTCGTGGCCGCAGCGTTCCCATCCGCATGCGGAAAGACCAATCTGGCCATGCTGCAACCGACCGTGCCCGGTTGGAAGGTGCGTGTGATCGGTGACGATATCGCGTGGATGAAGTTCGGTGCCGACGGTCGTCTCTACGCGATCAACCCCGAGGCCGGCTTCTTCGGTGTGGCGCCCGGAACGTCGCATAAGACCAACCCAATGGCCATGGAGAGTTTCCAGAAGAATGCAATCTTCACCAACGTTGCAATGACCGATAATGGAGAGTACTTCTGGGAGGGTCTCGAGAAAGAAATCAAAGACCCGGTGAGATATTTCATCTCGACGTTACGTCTGTTCAATAGATCAAAATTTTTTATTCAAACACCCACCGAAATGAGTACCATGAACAATATTTGTCAAATCTAGTTAAAGGTTAATTTCTTTGAAATGAGTTAGTTTCCCGTGAGATATTTATTAAATTAGTAAAATAATAGCTTGATGTAGTTATTATGACCAATATTATGCGAACATTCCGGACATGCTGATGATTTACGCACTGCAGAAAGTTGGAATGATCAACTGGTTGGGTCAGAAATGGCATATCGGTGATGAAGGCAGAGCCGCACATGCGAACTCTCGATTCACCGCCCCTGCTGGACAATGCCCCATCATCCATCCGGACTGGGAGAAACCAGAGGGTGTACCAATTGATGCGATTATCTTTGGTGGAAGAAGGTACTTACCACCTCAAATCTTTTCAGCACCAATCATTCATCAATTCACTTGCAAAATCGCTATCAGCGGCAATTCTTTTATCAATCTGCTGAATTTTGATCGAAAAATACAATTTTATCATGTAAAATTTCTTGGGTGCCATTGCCTCTATCGAATTATTGCCACAAAAATTGAAAATTTCAAGGCCTGAGGGTGTACCATTGGTATTCGAATCACGTGACTGGGTGCACGGTATCTTTGTGGGTGCGTGCGTTAAATCTGAAGCAACTGCAGCAGCAGAGCATACCGGTATGATTTTTGATTTTTGTTTGACTCAGTTAGGAATGTTTAGAATTAAGTGATAAGTAATAAAATCGGAATTTAATGGTAACTGACACTGATAGTATGTGACAGACGTGACATTTAGTATTTTTAGTGGCTGATCATAAATCAGATTCATTCACCCACACTTATCTATACCATTCAAGCAAGCATTGTAGTGCTGCGATTATCAGCAATAATCACAACAGTAGTGGAAATAAAAATTAACGTTTCAGTCATAAACTCATCAGTGTGTCATTTGTAAATAATTTTTTGTTAAGAGACAAAAGCACATGGCTAGATATGTCATCATAAAAACTGATCATTGGGTCTATTTGCAAATATTATAATAAAATTCGAAAATTATATCACGTGATGGAATGTAAATGCTATTAATGATAATAATCCATTTAATCACAAAGAAATGACATTCTCAATCAGTCATAAAAAAGAATATCGCAAATGAAAGACATTCAATTCATTTGCAACTCACAAACAATTTCTGAAGCAACCAAAAATGACTGCAAGCATACTGAACAAAATCGAGAGAGCGTAATCAAAATGTTTCTAGGCAAACAAGTAATGCATGATCCTATGGCAATGCGTCCGTTCATGGGCTATAACTTCGGTAGGTATATGCGTCATTGGATGAAGCTTGGACAACCACCACACAAGGTACACTATTTATTCACATACAAACTACTCTTCAATTCATCAAGAATCACTGCACTTTTGTACAAAACACCTCCACAAAATCCACTAATTTCTTACCTCACACTAGTTGCTGTTTCCTCAATTCCAAATCGAAGAAAGCAGTTTTTTGGTTTGAAGAATTTTATCAACAAATACGAATGTTATTATATGAATGCATATTTATTTGGTAGTTATGATAAGTGGAGAAAGTGGTGTGATTGATTATAAGTGAGAAATACTTGATTAATGATCAACTGAGATCAATAATGATTGTTATCAGAAGATCAATGATGTAGTTTCGCTTGACTTGAATTCAATTCAATGGAATTGCTTGATAAGCATACGCACCTTTACAAGAGCGTATAACAGAAATGTTCTTCAATTGTTAAACTTTCATTATTTGTTTTATTGCTTATAAAGTCGCATTCATATTCATCAATCCGCATGATTTTATCAATATTATTACTCTGTTTACCCAATGCAGTCATGTTTATAAAGGTAATTCCCTGGATATTGTTGCTATTGTAATCGAAACATTCCAGGTACCAAAGATCTTCCACGTAAACTGGTTCAGACAGAGTGCCAGCCACGAGTTCTTATGGCCCGGATACGGTGATAATATTCGTGTGCTTGATTGGATCTTGAGACGATGTGCTGGCGCTACTGATATCGCTGAAGAAACTCCGATCGGTTTCGTACCCAAAAAGGGTAATTGATAATTCATTCGGAACGCATCTGAAAATACAATCAAAATAACAGAATTCTAGACTGAAGAACACTTATACCTGCCACAATTCAAGTTGAACATTAGATCAACACGAGATCAAGAAGTATCAGTATAGAAAGCTGAGTTCAACACCTCAGCAGTGAGGATTCTGCGAGAATGGTGAATCATTGAGCAATTTCAGGAACGATCAATTTGGAAGGTTTACCGGCCGTGAAGTGGGATGAGTTGATGTCAATTCCAAAGTCGTACTGGCTTGAGGATATGGTTGAAACCAAAACATTCTTTGCCAACCAGGTACTTAGTTGCCTCATCTTTTCGCCGTAATTTCTATCCAATCGAAACGCATACCAATTTCAATGGAATCATTTGAAATCGAAACGAGAACTCTCATCAAAACAGTCAATGAGTGAATGTATTTCCAGGTTGGATCTGATCTCCCAGACGAAATCGCGAAGGAACTGGAGGCGCAAACAGCTCGTATAAAAGCGATGGCTTAAATCAATTCACATCTCTATCCATCCGTCCATCAGACAACGCACTTGCTTTCGAGTGCTCATCGGTCGCCTCAACAACGCCTCTGCTTTCTTCAATCGATTTTGTGTGTTGAAACCAGAATTGTTGATTCCTCGTTTTTTAGTTTCTTCTCATTGTTATATAGGAATATATACATATATAAATATAGATATGCATCAAATTCACTGACCAATCTCCGGATTACTCTTGAATGCAACTGTATTCATTATTCATTTACTTCCTTCATCTACCTAAACCCATTTTGCTGCTACGCTTTTAGTTTTAGTCATAATAACGACTCATCTCACACATCACTCAACCATCCCTTATATAATGTCTATCATTCAAAGCTATTACTCCTGAACATTGATATATTATCATTGTTAAATCAAGCAGAGAGAGAGCATGTCCAGTATGATGGATGATAGGATAAGATGGGTGATATGATACGAAATCAATGATAGTAATCGAGGCATCTGTTTCCCTCGCGGACTGCTGTCTGAACAACAGATTATTATCATTATCCTATCATTATCATTTTCATTCATTTAGTTAGTACTGCTTGTTGTTTGTTGTGTTAGGGTGCTTGTGTGTGTTTGTGAACAAAAGGCGTTTAATAGCGCATTTGGTCTCCAAATTGAATTGTTCTCAAGTTATATTTAGTTGTTATGTTTGTTTTTTGTTGTGTGATATGACCTATTAATGATCGTATCGTTATCTCCCTAAGTTTTAATATCGGAGATTGTACAAACAGCCATGTTGTCTTGTACAAAATATCACCCATATAAATATAAAAAATTTAAAATATTACTTCTTTATTTCTTATTGCACACAACATACGTATCTATCATTATCACTTCAACGCACAATCAGATATGCAATATTAATTTATTGCAACAATATCACCTGAGTGAAAAGATTCACTGCAAAGAGCATGAAAGCAAATGAACACATGCTTGCTGATATCGATTTGGACTATACACATGTATACATGAATCCCTTTATATCCACACGATATGTTTCTGAAAGGCACATCGCGAAAAGCAACTTTGAAAACAAGTTCGGCATGCTTTTCGAACAATTTCAAACATATACTCTCGG